ATATATATATATATCTTAATCTTTAATCATCATTTTCTTGTAATCATTTTCTAATCGTCATTTTCTTTGTTAACATATAAGGAATGGACTTTAAAAATGCATTTTGTCAAAATTTATAATTTTCAGAAAACGAGAAGAAAGCCACAAGAAAACTGCGTGTTTTAAGAAAATAATAATTTTTCAATCAGTAAGATCTGAAGTGTTCAACAAAATTGCTAAACATTTGCTAAAAATATTAAACGAATATATATTGTTTGCCTCTAATTGAAGGACATAATGCAATTCGAATGTCAAGATTTTTTTAGCATATAAATTGATGGTGTAGAAATTTTTCAGAACATCGTTAGAGTAACTTAAAATTTTTATTTTTAAATACTGAATGCCATTTTTAACTCGATAGATGAAATTTTAGTCAAAATGCATTTTGGAAGCCTGCTCCTCATATATTGAATTAAACATATATTTACATAACAAAACAAAATGTATCTACATATAAGTATATATACACCATTATCTCTGATATGTTGATAAAATATTTTTAAAAATCACGATTTATTTTAAAACTTTAACAAGTCGAAAATGAAACTATTATAAAAAAATATTTTTTTAATTTTTCGAATCAAAAATATCATTATATACAATTTCACGTTTATTTGTTTAAAAAAAAACTCTTTTTTAAAATAGCATGTCAATATTTTTCATCTATTGTCAATTTTAATGTATTTGTTATATTTACGTATAATATCCTTATTTCCTAGACTTTTATTTTTTTTCTTTATTAATGTTCTATCTCTGAATGTGAAATATTATCTATGTGAAATATTAGAGATCCAGCAAACCCCACTCGTCGTACAGTGGCAGTCTTTTTATCAATATTTTTTTATAACTCTCACTTTTTAAACCTGCATTTATATAAGTACCAGTGCTCAATATTTCATCCAAATCTTTCGCCTCAGCTTTACTGCACAGCATAAACGGTAAAATGACGAAGGATGTTATCATTCCAAAACTAGCTCTTCGTTTTAGGGTAGCCTTTAGTTCTTTCATGGTGGGCGGCTGAGTCTTGCAGTTCAATAACTTCATAGTCGTTGTCAAGGTATCAAGATATTCATTTAATAGAACATCTCTCTTGTATTCAATGATATCGAGGGAAATACTTGAATTGAGAAAATAGAGAAGATCGAGTGCCGGTGATGCGTAGACACTTATTTGGAAATCTACCTGTAATAAAATTAATTTTCATTCCATCAAGCTTTTAATTAAGCCTACAGCAATTTTATTGGAGATAAATTCTATGCATTACACACACGCACACAGTGACAGAGAGTTGGGGGAGGAGGGGATGTAGGGCGTCATGTTTATGAAGTCGCGACGACAGTGTAGCTCATATGAATAACATCAATAGATGAATATGCCTGTATGATGCATTTATTCAAAACATTTCATTTTCAATGATTTTAAATATCTTATACTCATCCTCTATTTGGCTCGATTATTCTAACTGAAATTACGGATAATTAAATTGCATATAATTGCATTAATATATACCATAATAGTGTCTTTCGAAACAAGATCTATTCATTTAATTTATTATTATGTAAATTTAAATCATTGCATTTAACTATGAAAATTATAATAAATATTCAGAAATGTACATAATTGGAATAAAGTGGCTGACAATGAGCTATGTTAATTTATGTTTATAATAAGATTTATATTTGTCTGATTTGTCTATATAAGATATATATTCAAAGTAAATTCACTGTTTCAACAACACTCCAAATAACATTTATGTTGCATAAGGTGAGCACCTTTTAAATGTTTTATGTCTAAAAGATGTCTAAAAGGTATCTTATGCAACATTATGCATGTTATTTGGAGTGTTGTTGAAACTATCATCATATATCTATCATGTTAATACATACTAAAAATTTCACGAATGATTTTATTTAACTTAATTCTTATTTAATCTTAGTCGCAATATAAAGTCATGTTTATAATAAAATAATGAGCACATGTTTGGAGAGAGTACATGATTTTTTATGACGTAATAGTACTTACAAATATCTGATCAGTAGGTTTGCCATTATTGTCATATTTGAATAACATATTATTCACGTGACAATCACCATGATTAATAACATTAAATTCATCTTCACAGAGTTGGCTCGCATTCAATCCTATTTGAAATATATGGTCGGCGAGTTTAGCAATTTTTTCCGAGTATCTAGCAATAAAAATCAAATAAATGTAAAGTTATATGGAAATAATATAAATATTAATTCAAACAGTGTAATTCGTATATATATTTGCAATTTTCTTCTTAACATGTTCTACTTCCTCACATTAAATAATTATTATCTTGTGTCATGTATAATAAAATACTTTGAATACTTAAAAATAAAACAAAATAAATGTTGTTATTTATACAAATCTTACTTTTTCACTTCTGGCCAGTTCACACTCTCGTCTGCTAGAGCTTTCATGCTCTTAATGAAAATTTCTTTTATATCTGGAGGATGCTGATTAGAAAATATTCCTTTCGTATACATCTCTTTTTGCTTTGGTTCCTAATATTAAAAATTAAATATTAAAACATTTTTATTAAAAAACATTTTGATGTATTTATTCATTTTTATAAAGTTAAATAATTAGATTTGTAATGCGAAAATTTAAAATATCAAATAGATCAAGCTACATAAGAAATCTACACAATAATTTTAATGTATAATATATAATTTCTTTACAAATTTATAGCAAACCCTTTTTTCAGAAAGAGTTAGGAGACAGTTTAGACAGTATGCATTTTGAAAAGATATTTTAAAAGAAACATTTTTAAAATTTTATCATAAAATGATTTTAAGATGATTTTTACTGAAGTCTTAAATGAGCAAATATGCAAGTAGTGCACTGTGCTACGCAAAGATGCATTAATAAGAGAGTACATTAAATTAAGTTTTAAAAACAAATATTCTCGACACTATATGGGCGTTTGTTCCTATGAAATTTAATATGTTTCGAAATAAATACTGTATACTAATTAAAAGAATACTAATTAAAAGTATTTGAAATTATTAATCGGATTGGATAGTTGTTCATTTCCCAGAGATATAAAAAAACTTATTAAAAACTTTCAGTATGTACAAACTATACTCCGAGCCATTTTAGCAGAAATACAAATGAAAAAATTATTAAAAAATGCTATTTATGGGCTCTTGAAATAATGTAGTATAATTGAAAAATTGCATTCTCCATAAGAATATTTAAAAGGTATAATAAAAAGTATTTTATTTAAAAGATTGCTAAATAAAAATATATAGGAAAGTGGCGAAATTTGCATAAAGGCGTCTTATATGCTACAGAGCCTTTTAGCCTATTCTGTAACGTTTAATTAAAGATCGTTAATAACGACCTTTCAATATGATTTTATATGATTACGCTGTCATTACGAAGCTTTTTCACTATGTAAAATATCTGCACAACGACTCTAGATAGAAAATTGTAGTTAAAAAGTTACAAAATATATCTACTAGTTTTAAAAATATTTTTTTATTTATTTTTTGGATGTCTTTAAAGATAAAATACTTTTTAGACGTCTTTAAATCGTTTACCAGCAGCACTATCGCTAAATGACTGTATTAAAGTTTTCTTGTAAATAGAAAATGTTACGTGATAAAAAGCGCAATATTTTAAGTTTAATACAATATTAAAATGGAATTTTTAATATTACAATTATAAATGTATTTAATATTACAATTATAAATTCTTCTCTGTAGAGTTATATAAGATGTGTCGCACGTAATCTTAAAATATTACATACTCTTCAATTCGAATTTTATGAAATGCAAAGTGATGTTTCACTAATTTCACGTATAATTTTTATATTTAATATTAAGAACTCTTTATATTTACGCAAATTTAAACTTGGAATAGTTCTTGCATTCGTCAATATCATTGATGATCCGAATTCTTAATAATTGCAACAAAATGTTGCTACTGATTGTGAGTCACGCGTTACCTTCTCGCATAGAGCTACGGAGGCTGCATGAAACATGGCAAGTCTGTGAAGCGCCAATATGGAATGATTTAGATCAAGACCAGACAAACGATCAGCCATTTGAAAACCGAGAGATGCGAGATCTTCGATCACCAGAAGTACTGGATTTTCATTTTGCGCATAGAGAATTTTCGCGCTCAAGCGATGCTTCGATCCCAACAACTTATTCATTTTATTCAAAGTATCGGACATCATCGACATTTCGGTGTGAAAGAAACCTGCTTGTGTGACCTGTGACAAGTTTATTTAAAATAATCAAGTGTAATCTTTTAATTTAACATGCACTTTGTGATATATAAACCTAAGTAAATCTAAATAAAATTTGTTTAATAGAAAGTTTCAAGATTTAATTTGAAACAAATAAAGAATGTTTTCTTTAAATACAAAGTAATGTATATTCGCTTATGTAAACTTGACTTATAAAGATAATTTCATTTTAATCACTGATTATCTAAAAGTAAGATAATAATCCTAGAATCTTTTCGAATAGAAATGTATTTTAAAGTAATAAAATTTTCACTGTTATCTCTCTCTCTCTCTCTCTCTCTCTCTA